AGCAATTCTGGTTCAATACTTCAAAATCTTATGCTACATATAGGAATGTGTGTAGTGAGAGGATGTTGAGCTCACACTAGAAGTATCTCATTTCAAAGTGGCTCAAATTACCATACTATTACTGATTGAAGAATGTGGTGTCGATATCGATGAGGTAGTTTCACAAGGTTCGAGAGATTAAATCATTATCGATTGAGAGCTTTGTCTAACAATTCCATATCACTGTTGTGCCACAGCTCTTAAGAGGCTTACCTACGAGGAAAAACACGAGAAAGCTTGAAAGCTGAACAAACAGAGCAAACAACACGAGCACTCTCTAGGACTCCTGTACTTCTTTAGAATTTTTGAAAAAAAACATATTCAAGACATTGACAATATCGACCGTGGAACAAAGTGATCGGTGATGTGGAAATGTACGTATGAACGAACAAGGTAACTATTTTTGAAGACTGAAGACAATTACATTCGCTCAATGAACAACGAAGCGACGATTGATAATGAACTAAGCGGTCTCATTAGAAACTCCTCCTAATTTGTACTCTTATCAAAAATCAAATGATAAAGCGTTCGATGCTGATGAATCTCCTGGGAATTTGTTATACTTTCGCCTCCAATCGTACCTTCGTATAGTTGATGTAATTCATGCATATATGACGTATACAGCAGCTTGAAATGGTCTACCAATGCAATCAGTCAGTGTTTTTTATCCCAGTGCACACGTCTGATAGTAATTTGTCAACCACAGAGAGGTGGAGGGCTTGTTTAGCTTTAAAGCCTGGAATCGCATCAACGGCTACGGGCGTAAATGCTGTTTTGCGTTCCATATTCTTATTAATATTGATTATTCAGCTAAAAACATATTTAGTGCGCATGGATACATGCTGGTATCCAAATAGCATAGAATACCGTTTAAAAACTCTAAGTAAGTATCATTTATGATTCGAACTTTTGTTTTATTTATTGCTGCATTATTGTGTTGCACATTTCATCCCTTTAATCGCTGCAATCATTGTATTTCTAAGTCCAAAATGTGGCTAAAAAATTGAAGTTTAGAGCAGAAGTAAAGTAAAAGTTGAAATGTGCAGATGCTTTGAGAACGTTATCGTTCGGGTCCGCACTACCAATTAAGACGAACCATCCAAGTATCCAAGTGAAAACGATGTCTCTAAAGTTGATCGTTTTGTCTAAGTTCTATGTGTGAATAGCAAATATATTTCATTTTCACTAGTGAATACTCAAAATTTATCGATGAACAAACGATAGTCGAGAATTTGAGTCTACTTAGAAAGATATTATCGGTAGGTGATCGATGTCTTGACGCTGAAGCTACCGCAAGCTGTCGATCTATTTTTTGACGCTTCATTGATGACGGACGATTTTGTTGTTATCGCATCAGATCGGTGTCAGACAGATAGATGAACGATGTCGACGACTGTATCGGAAAACTGCATCTAAGTTCCTACAGTAAAAAAAGTTTGCGGCGCAGTGGTGAGAGGTATCTACAAAACAGATGGTTGATGGCTGGATACCACGATGAAGGTTCATCATGCGTTGCATCATTCCGGAGTCGATGAACTGGTACCAGACTCGTATGGGAGAATAGCAGCACCGACTTGATATATTGGTAGACCACCGCGAGTAATTGTAAAGACCGGATATGCATCCAATCACTTCAAACAAAGCCAAAAACTGAAGACGATTGCATGACGCATCCCCCGGGATTGACCAACGTCAAGAGTTTTTTGGTTTTTATATTACACTGCTTCATGCAATGAATTTTGAGTTTCCGAAAAGTGGATTATTGTAGTTCCATCCCAACGCGCTCCGAAAAATCTTTAGATTTTATTAGAGATTTAATTCATTGCAGTTCTTATTCAGACCTTTTTCAAATTGCGAGCTTTTATAACCAATGAAACCCATGGAATGAACATTTTCCTATTTAATAAAGATTATGCCTATCTTAATAATAACACAATAAGCAATTGATTCGTAAAGTACTGATCAATAGCAGATATGGTACTTTTACTTCGCGCAACTCCAAAATTTCAATTTTGTTTTTCAATAAATAGTTCGCATAACCTAAGTTTAACGATGTATAAAACTCGTATGAAGGCTTTTGTTCAAAACAAGTACTATTATCAAAAACTGAGTGACTTGGTGATTTCATCAACGACGATAAAAAAAAAAGATATGGAGTTCGGAGTACCAGATTTAATCACCGCTTAGTCGCTTGTCGACGTTTTTTTTTCTCGTCGATGGTAAGGCGTTGATAAACGGTGGAGATTTCATTATCCAAGAAAGTAATGAAACTCTGCATATCTCCTCATGTGACCAAAAACAGCTATAAAAACCAAAAAAAGATACCAAAAGTTGGAAAAAAACTGAATTAGACCAGGATTCACAACGAAAGTTCTCAAATGATTATTATAATTTCTTCATCTATGCAATGCGATTGATAGATTTAGGTAATGCATAAGATAGGTGAAAGCGTTCGTATACTGGAAAAATCTGGATGATTTATAGCTATGGTTATCTTAGAGTTGATGAAGAAGTCAATATGGCCGAATAACAATAAATATGGAAATAGTAAATGAAGAATTTATGCCGGCTATTGCTTTAATAGTGATAGGGCAGAATATGAATGAACATGAGGGCGTGGCAAGACTCGTAGTGGTGATGAGGTTCGTGTCCGCTCCGCTCCAAATCTGAACACAATGATCCCGATTTCATAACACTTGAGCGTTTACTGTTGTGGATCAGGAAAATTTGCATTTGCTGTTTTTGGACAACTAGCACTATCCCAGTAAAAAAAAAGCCAAAATGATTTCATTATAACCTAGATATGATGATGAATGATTGATTATCAGCTAGGAAATGAACATAACGAATAAAGGAATGATAAAAACAAAAATAGTTTGTCTATCTGAAAAAGCTACTTCTGAAAAACCAATTATAGAGCACATTTGTCCAACCATTTTCTCATATCACGGTTACCACTGTATAACTTCTATAGAAAGTTCGAAACATCCTTTTCTTCTTTTCCACTTTATTATCAGTCGCAGGAAAAAAACTTCGTGTATCTTAGTAAGGAGGGCTGCGTAGCATGTTCATAGGATATGATAAACGAGGACCAATAAATCTTCTCCCTGAACTCCCCCTTCTGCTGCACTGAACTCATATATGTTTTACGCTCATTTTTCGATATGTTCGTACCGTCACTTCATGAACTGCTCATTTGAATTCTCGTTATTCCAGCCAGCATAGCCTTTCCGGAGAAGAAGATAATCTTTACTATTGTCTTTTGGATGTAGAGTGTTTCGCGGTCAACTTGATTTTTCGTGATGATTCAATTTTTCATCAATCAGCGAAGAAACATGTACTCACTGAAGCTGTTGTGTAACCGTGCATTTTCGGATACTGTATATAGTGTGCCTTCTTTATCAGATTTAGAAAGGGGCTCTAATAATCAAATGTACCAGGCATGGTTTGGAATCGTCTCCAAAAATTATACATCCACTTCTTTTGTCAGAGAGATGAAAAAGCCGCCGCACTGCATTTCTAATGATGATTCAAAAGAACTGCTTTAGAAATGGATGAACTCAACTCAGTGGTTTGACGTGCTATACAATTCACACATGGCCGTTAGTTCAATGGCAAGCTTTGGACCAGCCCATCTCTTCAAGGCCAGACTTTCCTAGAGGGATGAGAATAAAAATGCGATGCATTGAGAGGCTCACATAAGTTTAGGCGAGATACGTATTCAACTGCTGGTACAATGTTACGAATGGAGTCGAATATAAGCTTAACAGATTAGTCAACGCTGAACACTTTAATGTCTTATTGCAGTCTAACGAGATATGCAAATTTAATATCTATCACATTGCCGTGATGATGATTGTGTAAAGCCATGTGAGCCAATCAAAGCTATGTTTAACACATTTACGATCGTATTGGAGTTGCGACAGTCGGGCGATAATTTCTCAATAGCCTAAGTGTTTGATGAACTCACCGTTAGATAGAATTATAAAGAAGATTTCACCATATCACTTAAAGATGGAGATAATTTCTCTAATGCATTTGTAAATTTTTAGATACTCCTTTGTCAAAATATTCAGGAAAATTTACAAACTTAGATATACAGCTTAGACTACAGCAATGAACATTGTCGGAGAAATTGTTCCATTTGAAGAGTTTCATTAGTTGAAACGATATGCTTACTCCTTGAACCCAAAACTGAACGAAAATGAGGTCACTGGACTCAAAAAGGACTGAACTGCATGATGGTAGAACACAAAGCTACCAGCTTGCTGGCAAGAATTTTTATATTTCAAATTATTTTGCTTTACTAATGACGTCATCTCTCCACGTCAAGACATGTCAAATGAGAATTGAGATAATAAATTTTTTTTCCCAAGCGCTAGTCGAAATGTATCTCATTAATAAGATGTTAATGTGAAATTGTAGATATCGAGTCAAAAACGCTTGGAAGTCGCCTTCATCTAAATTTAAGGGAAAATCTATGATACGAAAGCATTTTTATTTTATCTATAGATAGAACTAAAGTATGTAGTGTTATGACTTCAACCATAGTCAATCGATACGTAGAAGAGCTACAGTGAGGTAAAGCATAAGATAAAAGTAACACTATAGCCAGTTACACTACGTTACGCTGTCTCATAACATCATAACACTGCAAAAAAAAAGCAGTAGAAACATTAGAAATTCTAAGTATTACACTACATTAGTTGTTTCAACACCCTCTATATGTCCTACAAAAGAGTTTCACAAACGAGAAAAGGAAAAAAGAACAATAAGAAAATCGCAATATTGCTTAGAAAATGAACAGTTGGCTTTTTTGATAGCTTTCGAAATGTGTGGGCCACTTATTGCAAAAACTAAGAAAAGAAAGTTTTTTAGGTGATTTTAGTATTAATGTATTGGAAGTAGCAAATTCACCATAAAGCATAGAGATGTTGAAAAATGAGTGGTGGCGCAGATGTGCCTTGGTGGTGTAATGGTAGAGCGCGCGTCCCCGGATAGGACGACGCGGGTTCGATTCCCGACTGAGGCCACGTTCTTGCTCATCGCTCAATTCTTTTGGGTATCTATGGAACATCATAGCACTACGAAAAGGCAGTAAAATTACTAGAATTCTTGAGTACTACATGACCATAGAGCGTCCCTTAGCTGAGAAGTGCATAAAAATATAGAGCACGTAAAAAATGAGAAGAAAGTGAGATATCCAAGAAAAAAAAAACAAAATACGAGAAATCAATGTTGGCTGAATGAAATTCTTCGGCACGAATTCAATAAAAGAATACGACAACAATTATTGTGCATTCACATACATAAACTCGTAATCGTGTAATAGATAGATGTGTGCTAGAAAAAATCGCGATCTCATGAATACACCTAAATGTGCTTGATTATCCAAGTAATCGAGTACTTGATGACGAATATGGCCAGTTATTGAATAAATAAGCGAATTTTACGTGTGGTTTATGTTGTCGGTAGTCGTTTCATCATGCTACACCGCCTTCAACCAATTTGGTCGAACTACACATAGGAATTGCCTACACAGTGATAAAATCCTACTTGTGGCAGCAAATTTTCTTACTATCTACAATGATTAGTGGTGACGCGCCGGAAACGTTCAGAGACGACTATTTTGAGGTTATAGGGAAAACATCCGTTTAACAAAGCAATCAGCATATCAATGAGGGCAGAAGTTCACAAATGTCCAACCTAAAATCCAATCCATGCGAAGCTACAAAGAAGATCTCAAAACAATGAAATAGATAAAAGATGATGGAGGAAACACATATTGTGAAGTCAGATAGTAGTAGCAGTAGTAGTAGTAAAATATCCAGATAAAAAATGCCGATAAAAGGATTGCTCGATTTTTACTAGTAGCCATTAATTTAGTGCACCTGCGCAACAAATGATGCTAATGGTAATAGGATTTCTCAGAATGTGCTATTAGTCATACCAACTGGGAATAGCTGCCTAGTGATGAAAACTTGAGATATATGATCCGCCAGCAGGAGACCCTTTAAAATACCGTAATCTCAGCACACCATAACCCGAAAATCTTGATCGATACCAGCCTAAGTTTAAAGGAGCTAAGTGGGACGAATAGATGATAGAACGACACTTCCCAACAAGGGAAAAAAGTATGAAAAAGAAAATCTTAGCAGAGCGTAAAATCTACGAGAAAGAACGCTATATGGCTCCACGTCGCAGAGAACTCAAGAGACGCCGGAGTCAAATTAGAAGAGAAAACGTTATCGCGGAAAGTCTAGCTTTTCTGAAAATGCTTCACTAGGTGATGATATCAATGAACAATTAGCAAATCTCACTTTTAAATGAGTATACAACTTTTTTTAGCAACCAAATGTCACTTGCAATAGTTATGATGGTTTTTGGATCTTTAGCAGTTCTGACTTCGAAGTGACTAATGGCGCAAATTGACACAAGATTTGAGACCACGAAACTTTATAATCCGTAAAGCTGTCTAAGTATTATGCAACAGGAATAAAATAAAGCATCAGATCGAAAGTAATGAAACATCCAGATAATAAATCACGTGTTCAAAACACGAGATTAAACTGTGCCCTCCTTAATCCCTACGACTTTGTCAACTACTGGAGCGTAGTCCGAGTACTCGAGAATAAATGGCAAGTAAAGAAAGTAAGAAGTCAAGAACTCTGAACAATTTCGTATGTTCCACGAAAGCATGTGTTTGAAATTCATAACTGAGCAATAATGAGGAAACAAAAGAAAGCTTCCTGACTGTGGTTGTGTCTACTTTTATCTTATTATCGCCGTTGAAAAACAGTACATTTTATAGACTTTTTCTTCACTTATTTGCAACTTAAGGGCTTCGTAATTACAAATCTGCTGAGCTTATTACGCGAGTAACACTGTAGGAACTAGAATCAATCAGAATGTTTTTTATCTGACCGCCTTTAGCGGTGTTAAGGTCTTGTATTTACCCAGTGATAAACAGTGATGTGCGAAAACACTTGCAATAGGTGAGAACCCACCTAGAGCATATGTTTTCGCACATCACTCTTTATCATTGAGTTTATTGTAAGTGTAGGAACTTATGTTAAGTTCACCATTCATCAGTCAGGTGATGATAGACGGCGCACAGAAATTCAGTGTGACGGCGGTCATAGCCAGATTTGAGTGCAACAAATTACTCCACATACTTCCTACGATTTTCCTCAAGCTAACAAACCATTTTATTGATGATTTCTTACAATCAGTAACTAGAGACATTCTTTCGTTTTGTAAGCAAGCAAGTATAAAGGAAAATCCATGGCTTACCATTTAATTACTACTTTAGGAAATACTTTATTTAAAATCTCCATTGCTTTTTGTTTTAACATATTTTGCTCGCTATTTCTATAATCTGCACAAAAGTATGTATGATTATATATATATATATATAAATATATAAGTGAAGATATGATTAATAAAATATATACGTATTATTATTATACAAAGAATTTTTTTTAACCAATACTTGATATCTCTGATGGTTTTGTTTTCAATTCGGAAAAAATGATACAGATAAGAGTGAAAATTTGAAAAAAGTATTATAGATTATATAAATGATGATTTGTGTGGCTGGTAGAATTATAGATAGAATTAGATCGGTTGAAATGACAATGACTGGGAGAAAAGTTTATATAAGAGATTAGTAACAGACTAAGCAGTCAATGAATGTTGTCGTATTGAATAAACATTATGGAGCGGTAATAAGTCTATCACTGACTTAAAAAACGACATATTCTTACGACAATTAGCTTATATATCAGGTTTAACTACTTCTCACCAGCTGAAATAAGGAAAAGGAATTAAAAAGAAGTTCAATCTAATCAGCAACAGGAAAGGATATGGACATCATTATGGTGTAGTGTAATGAGGTTATTAGTGACTGAGAAGAAAAGGGCTTATTTTGCGACGGACTTTACGTTCTTGAACAGGTAGTGGCTCTTGAACGACTTCTGTTGTTGTTCATTCGTTTATCCATAACCTTTACGATATGTTTAGTAATCGATAAAAGCTATAGAGATATAGGTTAAAACATTTGGAGTTAACCAATTCCTCAATCATGCTATATAATTCTCAATGCATATTTGGCTTCTATAATGTCTTTCGTCAATCCACCGATCTAACAGAGTAGTGTTTTGATCTACCCTTTATCTTCATTGTACACTTTATTCTTTACGATACTGATACCAATTCGCTACACTGGTAGAATAAAACGTATGGTTTGCCTGGGTACAGTATAAGACATGAGACGAACGTTTCATGTGAACCACTGCAATGCAATTCTATAAAATGAACTACACGCTACTGAATAGATAGGAAAAATATGAAAAAAGATTAAGATGATTGGGATCAATCTTAGGTAACTTTATTAATTCACTTAACTCTGTCACAGATGAGATGCATGAAGACGTCACAGTGAATGATGGCAACTACGAGAGTATGGTTGGATTCGTTTATAACTACTGACTCTGTGGGTATGAAGAGATCTATCTAATGAATAAATTATCATATTAATTACCATGACAATTTACGATAAAACTGGATGTATCGTCGGTAATTGTTCATATTAGCGAATGTGAGAAAAAGAAAAGTCACACGGAGAAAGGCAAAAGTTGTAACGTTTCTCAACCACAAATCAAAGTGCTTGTCTACTCATATTGTAACATTTCTTTATCATATTTCAACTTTGTTATCCGTGAATTCGTAAAAGTGCTAAAGATCAGTTGTTAACGAAATGCTAATGGTATAAATAGTGTTATTATCACGTTTTACAAGAAGTGCTGTGCTGATGAGGAGTGTGAACATTGTTCTTTTATACAGAACTGGACCTGGAGTCTAGTCAACAATGGGCTTAAATAAGGTGAACCTGATCAGGGATTAAATGGTCACCAATTCTGAACAAGTGCTATGAAGCGCCATATTGATACCTGTTTGAGAACATAAATTCAATTGCTGCGGCCTCAGATTTTTTGTGCTAAAGATAATGTGTGCTACCGTGATGATGTACACATACTACACGTACATATCTCTTTGAATACACAATCACACGCTGCTATATGCGTTGCAGGAGAGCGTTGAGGGAGGTTTAACTACAACCTTGATCTTTGGCGGACTGTATCATGCTTTAACTCCATCGTCTCTCTTTGGATTTTTCATATCGATGAGTTCCGAAAATTCCTTAGCAAATTAATGTTTTGATCAAACTTCAGTCGTCAACGCGCTTCACTATGTATATGTCTATTCACTTGAAAATTTAGACAGTGTAAAACTTGTGGCAAGAAAGTACTCATTATGCTCGGTAGGATTGAGCTGACATGAGCCCGGTGTGGAAGAAATTATTGGGTTTGTTTCGACGCCTTGGTATCAAAGTCGCATTCATCCGAGTCATCGTCCACAGTCGGTCGATGTCGCGATGCGAGTCTTCGTAGCCGTGTATCGCGTCGAACACTGTGTTGAGTGAATTAACCTCTAGAATAAGAATCTTGCAGCTACGTGTCCTTGTAAGAAACTGGATGTTGGTTGACCGTCGTCAGCGAATAATCCACCGTATGCTACAGGACGCCTACCCACCCGGAGCAGATCACATTGAATGGCGTCATTTAACTAACATCCGTTTTTTTTATGAAAGACCACTATCAATAAAATTCTTAATTCAACGAGTCCTCTTGACACTGAGTGAATTTAGTGTTACTGCGAACACCTACATCGCGACAATGACCAGCTGCTGACCATCGAATCGGAACAACGGCAGCAATATGTATAAGGAAGGCGTTGGATTGCTGGCCAAATAAAACTTTTACCAGCATCGTGTCGACGCAATGTTAGAGATTTATACCGAAAACATATTAGCGTCTTTTTATTCCATTTTACTCTAGCCAGGGTTCTGGATTTCTTGCGAGTGATAATGATTCTAAATTGAGTTTACCATGAATTGCTTAAGGAAAGACGATGACGTCATCGGCTTCAAAAAAAAGTCTCATAGGATAAGGCTCACGTCACTGTTGCATAACAGAACACCAAGAGGACTACCGACTTGAAGTAGGAAGTTGGGATTTTCAAGCTCTTTGGTTGGTTGGCTGTTTTTTTCGACAAGCCCGAATGTGGCCAATGTTGTTCGCCTTCTTTGTCTGACTCTTCTTTCACCTTGCATTCGATTTCATTGAGCCAGTAAGACATGCGTAAGTGGTGGTCTCTGTAATCAGCAAAACATCCACATTGATTTGCTTGGCTGCACACTGTGAATTTCTCATGAACCTTGTCTATTGATGAATTGTGCGTAGTTTGATCCTCTTTTCCTGTTATTGAGTTCATTTAACGTTGTTTCTACTACTCTGATAGTTACTTGAAGAGATGAAGACGTTTTCGGCAAAATGTAGATTTTGTAGGACTTCTTCGTCACTACGTATGTTTCTCTTGTCCTGATAAAGTGAGATCATTTCATAATACAGTTTTGTAGTAAGCAGCTTTGGCTATATGATGCCGTCTTGTCGGAACCCTTTTACTGTGGGTATAATAAGGATTGATAAATAAGCTCTATTCTTCTGTGGCAGCTTCGATAACAGCTGCTAAATGTTCGTATTCACGCCTACTACTAAAATAGCATTCATTTGCAATACATTTATTTGACCGTTTCTTGCGGTGTCATGGTCTTATGATATACCCAGTAATGTGGAGTGCTGTGCAAAAATGTTTGCGTCAGCTGAGATTCAAACCCAGATCTCACTCTTTCCGGGAGCGTATGCTAACCATTGCATGACCGACGCTCGTTTTGCACAGCACACTTATCACACTATAACGCGTTACCTGTCAGCAGCCAGCCGTCTACGGTCTGGCGGGGCGGCCGCTATCGACATTGAACCCACTTGTGCTGACACATATTGGGTATCAATAATCAATCGCAGTGCTGTGCAAAACGAATGTCGGTGGTGCGACGGTTAGCATACGCTCCCGGAAAGAGTGAGATCTGGGTTCGAATCCCGGCTGACGCAGACGTTTTTGCACAGCACTCCACAAATAGCATTCATTTCGACGTGGTCGAATGTTTTTCTCACTCGTTAAAGTTAGGATTACGAGCACGTGATATTTCCAACAAACCTCTATGACGCTGGAGAAGGTTTCAATGCTCTTCATACAGCAACATCCTTGCCGAAATCTCGTTTGCACGACTAGTTGCACCTCATTTAAAATCCTTAACATGCGCGACAGTTCTCCAAAAATCTGAGAATTTTTCCTTTTGAATGTAGGATGTCGCATGGGATATGAAAAATACATGTGAATTGTGGTCTACTGCTTTGAGAAAGTCGCTTTGGGGCTCTACCGTTTTTCACGTTCTCCGTCGCAAGTCAAACCTTGGAGGGAACAATTTTGCAGTCGAAATGACTCCATATTGAGGTGGAAAGCTTTAGTGGTCCCATCTTTATTCAGTGAGTCGTCAAAGTATTCAAAAAAGTAAGAAAATGATCTTACAATAACTAGAGATTATGAATTTGATTGCTTCACTATTCACCTCAAAAATGAATAGTCTCATAAGCAGAAGACGGCTTCTCGAAATTCAACAAATGCAGTCAATTGTTGACACCTAGGCTTCGACGCGAGTTAATTTCATACGATACGGTGACGATGGTCACTTTTAACTTCAACGATACATATCTTAGCTCAAACTAAACTTTATTGAGCACATCAAACGTCTTTTTTGCACTTTTTTCGTTGATAATCGCATTTAGAAGACTGACAAAGCCCTTTGAGCATGACATACTGAAATTTATTGAAAAATTTCTCGCCTTTCGCTAATCTCTGTGGGTGCTCCAGTCCCCACACTAAGAGTTAGCAACGACGAACGTTTTACACTCTGTGTCCTTATAAATAAGCCCTTTTTGACAGACCACTGACATGCGTGGCTCAAAAAAATGATTATCAGGCATATTGAAATTTGAGCTGTGGTCTTAAGAGAACATTCGAAACGAAAGATATGATTTATTGGAAACATTCAAATACATAAAAGCCTAGCTGTTGCCTAAGACTGCCGAGATTTCGTCAGAGTTTTTGAACCTAAATTTTCTTTGATTTCCTGTGGGAACCTTTCCTCTATCAAACTTTGAAGGCCAAATAACAGCTTCAAGGAGCCACACATAAATATTGAATAGAGTAAAGTCTGTATAAGAATATCTATAAGATTATTATGTTTCCATCCCATCAGATGTTTTAGCTACGAAAAATAGTCACCTTTAGGTGAAAACCAACGCAGAATCCCTGAATCAAGAAAACATAATTAACTCCACAATTTTTGTATCAAATTTCCAGAGTAAAAGTCATGTGACGAGCGCCAAGATGGACGTCACACTGAAAAGAGTAGGAACAAACCTCCGTACTCTGCTGCATCGAGATGACATATACCTTTCTTTTATGTGCGCGTGAAGAAGGCAATCATGCAACGTATGAGTAAATACTAATAGGTCGACCCATAAGTTTCGACATTAGAGCAATAAACACCTAATTTATTAACTAGAAGTAATTAAAATTGCATGATAATATTATAGCTCAGTTGCATATTTTCTTGCAATTATGTTGGTGTACAACTGGTCTATACTTGCTTTAGAAAACAAATTCGCTTTTCACCCATGCACAAATGCCGCATAACGCAAAATGCTAGTGAAGCGGAGCGCAAAATTAACCCTTTGAGGTCTAGCTTTGATAGGCAGCCGTTGATAGGCACGTGGCGCCGTGCCGTCACTTGAGCGGCAGTCATACAAGCGGTCAGATAAGCGGTTCTGCATGTCTATACATGGGTGTCCGGTTGTATGCCTGCTTTTCCTCAAGACGCGGCGCCGCATTACAGTAGCCGTGATTGACGTCGCGCGGTGAGCATCAAAATGACTCGCATATCTCTCAAAGGGTCAACGGAGCATGAGACAATGGGTTGCAGAAAGGACGGCTAGGAGGTCGTTCAAGAAGCTCTAAGCTGGAGAGGACAGTCTGGAGGATCAATCGCACTCCGGACGTTCACAGGAAGCTTCAATAATCTTGGCCAACGCTTCACTAATATTTTCTCCTATGCGCCATTTGTCCATGAGTAGCAAGAGGATTTGTTCCCAAGACAGCTCCATTTCAAAGCAAGCGTGTTCGCAAGAAGCGCATATTAACGATATCAAAATCAAGCAATTTCAAATCTGCTCAATGAATTTGATGCTTAGTGCTCTGCTGCAAAAACTTATGGAGCGACCTAATAATTTACTAGACCGATTTTCCTCTAACGCCGTGAATTAACCAAATTTTTCAAAAAATTTTTTCAGTTTTAACTTGGATGAATATGTGAAGCACTATAGTAAGTATAATAAACCAATCGTGGATAGCAAAAGCAATGTGCCTCATGATGAGGCAGCGGTGGGATTGATGTTGACGGAAAGGGATTAAAAGCTCTCAGCTATTCTCGCATGCATAAATCTGAATGGACAATAGTAGTGATCTGTACCGACAACTTATCTGAACTCTCGTTGAATTTCGCTCGGCGAATTTACAGCGACTAGGTCCAAACGCAATGCCATCAGACTGGTTGGGACAAAAAGAAACACTCTAGACGCTATAATTAGCACCCGTGACAATGGTGCTGATGTAGCCAAAATAATGAAGACAACAATGAATAATCATTACTCTGAAGCACTAAGGACTTGACTCGGATTTCGTTGATGAAAAGATACGAATCAACTCTAGCTTTGAAAGTCATTCCAACATCGTAAAATTGAGGCTTCTTCGAGAATTAGGATCGGATCATTTAACACCTTTACGGAAAAATGTTATGAAAGTGCTTGCGTCCGCAAAGTTGCGATCTCGATACGCAATATGTAGGTGTTGCTTTCACCGGAACTGCAATCGTAGTCAAAAACGCTTACAAACCCATTATGACTCAGCCTATTCGAAAGATAAATATTGTCTAACATTTCTCACGAATAGTCACCACTTCTAATGAGTAATGGAAATGTTTATCTGAAAAGCAGGCAACTCTCTACAGCAATTGCACCTTTTTCCATAACGACTTATCATAGAGGAATATATCATCGTGACAATCCTACCTCAATACGTTTCCACATATTATTTCATAAGTGAAAAATCGTTCAACGTCAAAGAGTGAGAGGTAATGGGTTGCCCCATAATTTTTTGCACTAGTGCTTAATTCAGTTTTTCGATTCAAATCGTGTTACTGCCAAAAGGCTGTGGTATATTGGAGAACATTCTAGTAGCTTTAGCCATCGCACCGTAGTACCATCATTCGTCATCTTAATGAAATGGGCTACCGCGAAGTGATGCTCGATGGACACCACATCCATTGACCGACAATGACCGCATAACAAGGTGACCCATCTGCCAAAGTTTTCTGTTACAACCGCAGAGGCAAGACACTCTCAGGTCGATTATCACTGTAGATGAGTCCCGAGTCTACTACAAGATCAACAGTTGCTACGCCTAGTGGCTGCCTCATGGCAAGGACTCGTCAGCTTAACCAAAGTCCACCTTCCATGCTCAAAAATATGTTCTCGGTTTTCGAGTATGGACAGAGCATGCTGTTTTGGAAGCTGCTCAACAATAAGCGGGCAATCAATGCCGACGTCTGACACGGGAACAGTTCTGGAAGTTGAGCGCAATACTGCGTAAGAAGAATCTGAAATGACTTAGTGTCGCTCTTCTACAAATAATAAGCTCGATCTCACATTGCAAAGTCGACTCGCCACATATTGAAGAAACCGGGTTGGACCACACTATCACATTCACCGTATAACCCTAATATTGTTTCGTTGGATCATCATCTCTTCCGACCCTGAAGCTGGAGAAAAGGTTTCTATACTACAATCACCTTGAAACTGGTCTCACCTACTTCTTCAATCGTCAACCTCATTCCTTTTGGGAAAAAACATCCGATCTTTTACCCACAAATGCTTTCATGTCATTGATTATTACGGTGATTATACTGCTGATTAATTAATTTCTTTTGATGAATGAAAATTGACTTAACAAAATTGTTGAAATGCGAAAGGAATTATGGGAAAACTCAATGCAGCCAAACATGTTAAGAACCCACAGTAGTCATTGTCAAAACACCGGCTTAATTTTTTCTCATGTTTGCTGTCAGAATGCAGGACTTTGATTTGATTGAAAAGTAGCTGTTTTGAAGCGTTAGGGACTTCATATTATTATAGAAGAGGCTTTCCTCTACCGCTCTAACGGCATAAACAACTTTTCGAAAATTCAAGTATCTATTTGAATTGGCTATGTCATTCGATTTTGTTATAATTAAACTGGGAAGCAGGTTGAAATAAATATTTTGATGCATGTTCAGCTAATGAAATGTCAGCAATACAATAATGAAATTTATGACGTTGTACTGAAGATTTCATTTGTCCCATCTCGTTGCTATTCAATTTAGTAGCTTTAATGAAAAATTCATGTTATAGGCTTCAAAATTAAAAACTATTCCGTTGCAGATTAGAAATCATTTCAGCGAATAATTCTTGAATATCTACCTGAAAATGAGGTAAATGCAACAATATATGCTATCCATGTGAGTCATGTATGACTCATTCTGTTGTCAATCCTTCAACAATGCACGAAAAATGGATATTTGACGAGCAGCATTTTCCTCGAAAAGGATTGATTAATGGTAAATTTTGAACTTCAAATGATTCTAAGGTGACTCGTTCTCACCAGCCTGAGAAAGATAATCACTTTAATGGGAACCGAAAATATCTATAAAAGGATCAGCACTCACGGCAAT